TTACACTCGAGACTCACCACTGAACTTACACTCCAAGTATTCTGTCTTGGTCCTGCTCAACTCAGGGTTGTGAAAAGCGGTCGCTTAAAGCGAGGCGACCCCATTACCGCTCCTGCTATATGAAGCGACTCAGGTAGATAAAAGCGTGCGCTTCCCACTAAAAAGCGAGAAGCGAAGCGAGGCGACCGAAGCGAGCGCTTCTCTGTTTTAAACACCCGCCAACCTATTTAAGTAAAAAAGAAAGGTGTTCAGTGTTCTTTTATTAAAACACACGGCCAGCAGCAACAGGTATGTGATGATTTCTTCCAAATAGAAGCGAAATGTTGACGATTTTTTTTTTCCCTTCGGTTCTTCTTCTCAGTCTTCTCCTCTTCGTTGAAATGCTGCCCAGTTTTTCTTTCACTGTTTTTATGCTGCCCAGTTTTTAACAGAATAGTATACCGCCCTTCCTCTTATTTTAATTTTTTTTTTAAAATTCCGCTTCACTTCAAAAAAGTGAGCGCTTCTCGCTTTAAGTGAAACGGGGGTTGTCGCTTTTCCTCGCTTCACGCTCTTCACAACACTGGCTTAACTTGAAACCTTTAGATTCCAGGGTCTGCCTCCATATCTCTAATTACTACCGTAATTTAAAAAAAAAAAATGCATGCCTCAGTGTGACTACTTAGATCAAGTATGAACTAAATATTTTCCAAGAGAAATTTTTTTATATAAAGATTTTCCTAGAGAAATAGTTTGATAGAGAAGCAGAATTTTTTTAAAAAAGAAGCAGAAATCATAAATGGATTACTGAAAAGGAAAAAACGAATGCAAACGAAGGGTAAAAGCAAAAGTGAGAAACAAAGGGGTGCATGGTCTCCATAGAACTATACATTGAATCTTTAGCTTTACGAAGATATTGCACTTGGTTAACAACGGTTATATAGGAGAGGAGAAGCTGGTACCTCAAAATTGTGGGTACCTTTTAGAATAGAAAAGGTTGAAAATTTAACCTCCATATGCCCCCTGCTTAGCATGTAATCAGACTGTTGATAACTCACTGTCATCAGTTAATTAATGTACCCCTTTTCAAGAGTTGTCCCCAAAATTCATAATTATAGTAGAGTAGGTGGAGGTTTTAAGGTCAGACATTGTTGCCATCAATCGCAAAAAATTGTCCATATTGAAGGGCATGTTGAGGGCGATGAAATAGGCTCTTCATTTTTTATAGCTTAAAATTTTCATGAGGTGGAACTTACTTCAGCAATGATACACTAATGTGCTTTAAATCACGCCTCTCTTCACCCTAACCAATGTACTTGAGGTGTGGCTGTACCTTCGAACCATGCACCTTTGCCAACGGTGAAGAATACTTCTCATTTAAAGTATATTAGCCAAATTGGCCATTTCAAATGTATGAAACTCGCATAAAACGTTCCTATATTTATAGGTTGTCTATAGTTACTCTTTGTTCAATTTTTCAGCCTGGAAAATGTCTTTACACTACTGTGAGAGAACTTGTTGAGAATGCACTTGATTCTGCTGAATCCATATCTGAACTTCCTGTTGTAGAGATAACCATGTAAGTGATTATTGTTGTCTATTTTAGTAACTGCTTTAATGAGCTAACAAAAATTCATTAATGGAGAACCATTCGTCATAGCTTTGTTTTGGTTTTTGTTATGCTCCTGTAGTGAAGAGATCGGCAAAAGTAAGTTTAATTCCATGATTGGTCTGGCTGACCACGAACGAAGAGATGAAGCTCTTTATGATGATTTTGAGACAGCAAAGGCTCGTGAGGTGTGTAAGCAGTGAATTTGGTCTCACTTGGATGGCGTTCTGATTTACATCTTATGCTGACTGTTTGACATTTAGCGGATTTCAGTAGTGAACTAGTTTTCTACCTGTTGTGCTACAGAAAAGGCTTGCCAAGGAAGCTCGTCTTCTAGAGGTTCAAGCAAAGAATGCTGCTCTTGGGAAGAAAGGAAAAGACCCTGTAGCTACAAAGGCAGCTAAGGGTAGGGAGGCATCGTATTATAGGGTGACATGCAAGGTATGACCTGTTTCTCTTTGTTCTTCTATATGCTGATGCTGTTCTCAGTATGGAAGACAACAACTGTACATTGTTGAATTAAAGCAATCTCACTAGCAAGTTAGAGGGAGTTTATTTCCGGAATGACTTAACTCACTGTACTTGTTTCTAATATAGGATAATGGAAGAGGAATGCCACATGACGATATCCCGAATATGTTTGGACGAGGTTTTATATGATCTCCATATCCAGTTATTTTACCAGTCGAAATTTTTGCATATTCCTGCCTTTTGTTTTTTTCCAACTTCTTTTGTTTTCTCTTGACCTTCTATTGGGAGGAGCGGAGGTGTTTTCGAGTGGCTTTTCTAGTTTAGTTATTAGGATTAGTTTTTCCTGATATTGTTGTAGATCCAAGTGGAAATCTTTGATTCTTTTTAACTGAATATTGCTGCACATGATCCTTTTCCTAAGAAAGTGTCTTCTGCAGTTTTGTCTGGAACAAAGTATGGATTGAAACAGACACGTGGGAAATTTGGTCTTGGTGCAAAGATGGTACGTTCAGAAATTGGTNTATGTTCAGAAATTGGTCTTGACCTAATCATTTGACTTTCTTTAACAATCACCTTCTCTAAATTGTTTGCACTCATAGTACATAATTTCTGTAACATTAGGTTAGTGTTGATCTTCTATCTCTTCTGGTCTTACATTTTAGTGTCTTAGTTGCTTGTGGTATCTTCTCTGCCTTGTTGCTATTATCTGTTTTAAGAGGTGGTTGTGAGGGTGAGTG